CCAAGTCAGCTTCATCTGTTACTTGTCTGCCCATTCCACCAGCCTATGCGCATATCCTCTGGATGTTTATCATTGCTCTCCTCACAGCTAATAATTCCAAGTTGACTCATCTGAAAATTTTAAAAACGGGCCCTCTGCAAAGGCTATGTTAATAGTATATACACATCATGAAAAGCAGCAGTCCAGGTATTAATCCCTACGGAACGCCACTATACCTGGGACAGACAGGAATGTGGTGTTAAGGACACAATCAGGTCAGTCATGATTTTATTGAGCAACAGCAGACCCAATGGGCTGAATGGCCTACTCCTGCACCTTTTGTTTAAATCTTATGTTTGCTATGTTCAGCCAACTCTATCAATTTTGCTACCATGCCTTCTATTCCAAGAGTGTAAACTGGAATAAAAAGGCTTTTGAGAAAGTCCACCACTTTCAACCATATTAACCAAAATAATTCCCTTTGTTATTCCATCAAAAATCAAATTAAACATGATTTTCCCTTACATTTATACTGGCCTTCCTTCATTAATCCACACTTGTTCAATACACTGGAGTTTTGTCCCAGACTATTTCTAAAAGCTTTTTCAACCGAGGTTAAACTAGCTGCCCTGTAGTTACTAGGTTTATTACATTGTTCTCTGAACAAGGTTGCAATGACTACAATTCTCCAGTCTTTTGTACCCACTCCTGCACCCAAGAATAGATGATCATGGCCAATGTATCTGCAATTTTATCCCCTACTCCCCTCAACACTGCAAATGCATGCAAAACCATCCCAGAGACTTGGTAAGTAAACTTAAGCAGAACTGAGCAAGTCCTTCCAATACTTTCCCTTCATTAATTTTTAGGCCATTGAACTACCTCTTCACTCACTGGCTTCAGCAACATCTTCCTTGGTAGAAATCAAATGCAATTGTACTCATGCAGTTTCTCAGCCATGTCTTCGCCTTCACAGATAGATATTCTTTTTGGCTCCTACATCAGCCCATCCCCACAGAGGTAATTATTTTCCACGAGTTTCACTTTCACTTTCCTACTATTCAGTCTGGTTCTTACTTTATTACCTGCCATTTGCAATCCTTATTTGCTTCATACTACTTTCTCACTCTTCCACCAACCAAGAAGCTCCAGCCTGACCTTTCCCACCTTGTGAGAATGTACACTCACCCTCTACTTAAACCACCTCCCCTTTAAAGGCAGCCCATTGTTCCATTACAGCTATGCCTGCCAATCTTTGATTTCTATTTATCCGAGTCAACTCTGTTCCCCGCTCACTGAAAGTGAACCTGCTCCAATTATCAGTCATTAAAATTTAGACAGAGAAGGAACTAAGGGGGATAAAAAAGCTTTACTCGTATATCTCAGTCTTTAACAGCCACGTAAATATTTTTAGGGGGTAGTTATCATTATTAGAAACCTGGCAGCCAATTCACAGAGCAAATCTTACAAGTTGCAACAAGATAATGATCAGTTAATCTGTTTTTATTGATTTTTGTTGCAATATAACTTTTAGTCATGACAAAGAGGAGAACTCACATGCTCATCTTTGCAATGTGCTGCCATCTTTTTACCTTTGTCCAAGTGGACAGATGGAGCCTTGATTTAACATCTCATCTGAAAGGCAGCACCTCAGGCATTTCAGCACTGTAGTGGATTGTCAGCTTAGATTAAGGTCTCAAGTCTCGAGGTGGGGGGGGGGGGGGCTTGAACACAACCTACAGACTTAGAGGTAACTAGTACCACTGAGCCACAGGCAACATAGCTCTGCAGCTCCGTTTCCAGGCAGGGTAAGTATCATGGTGCTTCAACGCTCAGTTTAGAATGGGAAATCATTAAAAATAGTTCCTCCATACATGACAAATAGTGACAATTAATGGCCAATATTTTTACATAGAATACATCTCCTGTGGGACTTTCAATCTCTGAAACAAACCATGCAACCTACAGTCCAATTTTGACAAGGTATGTGATAATTTTTGTTTCTTCACCTAATAGAGTAAATCCTTAGTTTCATGTGAGCAAAACCTGAGAAAACAAGGACAGGAAATGACATCCAAGCACAAAGTAGGAGGTTGATAGAGTGGATATGGATAACCAGGGTTCTAAGTAATGGGAAGGCAAGAACATGGGTCTATGTTATTCAATGCTCCCCATGTAACAGCCTAAGCTTTTTTATCCCCCCCTGTATTGGTTATACAACTAAAGTTGTCTTCACCTCATAACTTGACTGCTATTCTCCAAGTGTTTCTCCTTCTCGGCTAAGATTGTATCTTGCACTGTGACTGGTCAGTTATCTTACACGATTATCCTTCTAAAATGCAAAGTCTTTGTAGCCTAAACAAGCATTTTTAAGCAACATACACAACGCTAATTCAAAATGGTACAACAGATTGAAATTTTCCCATTTGTAAATTCACTCACGGAATTATCAAAAAATCATCCTATAGATGTACAATATCTGCATTGATCATTTAATTAAAACAATTTAGCTGCACAGCAACTGATTTATTGAAACAAGCCCTATTTTGATCAGCGTTTTTCTACTCAAATAACATATTTACCAACTTACTCCAAAAACAAACATTTTTCAGAAGTTTATACTATTGTGCAATAGCTGTAAATGCCCAGTACAGCCTAATATTTGGCTGGGGCTGCTTTACAAACAAAAATAAAATGGTAAACAAAGACAAAATTGAAGTACAGATGTTTTACTGATAATCAACAGGGAATGGGTTTGGAGTCAGAAATCAGTTTTCAATTTTTAATCAATTCATATAGACTAAATCTGGGCCATTTAATTGCATATTATTGCAAAGTCCTGGGTGCAAAATGGAGCTTTATTCCACAAATACCAATAGTAGCCCAACTTTCCCCTCTGAAATTCTATCTGCTTCTGGATCTAGTTCTCTAAAATTGTGAGCAAATAGTGAACACAGTGCCAAACCCTCTAGAAGCTGCAAATAGGCAGCATAAAAATTCTTAAAGCTCAATGGAATATCAAAACATAACAGAAGTAAAACACAAAAAAAAAATTGAAGGCCAGAGAAAGCAGGTAGAAGTAGTGAAATCACGTGCATGGGAAGGAACAAAAGAAATCAGAAGTGTGAAGAAAACATGGACACCTTGGAAAATTTTGTCAACTGATTTGACATATAATCAACAAGATGATTTAAATCACAGTCTTGGTCGCCTTCACTGCTTCCCTCCGATTCTCAGTGCTGTTTGCCAGGTAAGGATGTAGTGTCTTATCTCGTCCCACCCTTGTCCCTTCTTCTGGAGTCTCTCTCCGTGTACTGTATCCAAGCGTCAACTACTGTCGCTGTCCATGCGCATGGACTGGCTGTGCTCTGATCTTCAACCAAAACCTGTGCGAACAGAGACCCCGATTCTGATTCACTGACTGCACTGCACCCCTCGATTAACTATGCATCGTATGCACTTGCCCGAACTAAGAGCTTGATGGGTTCATTCTCATATCATTCTATTTCTCCACATATTAATTGATTACATTTTGGCGGACCTAATCAAACATTTGAGAACACCAGAGGTAGAACAAAGCACCACAGAGCTGAGGGAGGCTTTCAAAGTATGGCCTGTATTGCTGAAACTCCCTCCCTAATAGCGTAGTAGGTCAACTTAAAGCACGTGGACTGCAATGGTTCAAGGCAGCAGTTCATTACCACCTTCAAGGACAGCGTAGGCTTGGTAATACATGGTAGCAAAGCCAACGATACCTGCATCCCATGAGTGAATAAGAAGATAAAATAGATTGCTGCAATAAATTCTACCAAATTTTCACACAAGAATTATGAGAAGCCAAAGTTCTCAAACGTGAAAATGAAAACCCTAAATGTTATTCCACTGTCAACTGTTACTGTATTGAAATGCCATATTTGGCAGCAAATAACTTTCACTGGAAAGCACCGAATTTAAAATGCAACATTTATTTTTGGGCTGTCTTCTTTCCTCCCCACGTTTTATTTAATGTTAAGTCAAACAACATCTAAAATTTTATTTTGGCAATAGCCAAATGAAGAAGTGGAGGCAGAATCAGTGACGTCCACAATAGGTTAATGAAAAAATTCATTCAGCATCTTTGCTATTGTCTAATCCACCATCTTACTGGGATAACACAGCAATAAGAACACACTACAGTGTAGGACAAGTGGAATCAATAGACTTTTTCACTTGATGCTTTTCCTTGCATCTTTTACATAGGGATTATGTAATTACAGCTTTCACTTCATTAGGACCTCCATTTACAACCAGAGGTTTTGTCTGTTATTGCAAAACTAACATTAAAAAACCTTCTCATTCTACTATTCTACTTTTCTACCTTTGTTCAGATTTTATAAATAACTAACAAATACTAACAAAATTTCATAATGGTAAAAATTTTAACATTGAACCCGACAACAGAAACTCCAATGTCATTTGCGCTCTTTCACTAATCAAATTAGTTGCTTGACCTGTATTCTCTACTTGTAATTTTGGCTTCTAATAGTTCAGAAACTTGGAAAATATTGAGTTAGTCCCATTACTACATGAAATGAATCAAAATACTCTGACTTGGAAAAAATTCTTTTGGATATACTTATAACAGGACTTAGAGAAAAAGTTAACGCGATTGCTAAAGACAAAAGAAAAATAAACTCAACTCCTCAATGACTACTTCACATCTTCACTAATTGTTCCTACCCAGCCATTTGATAAAAACAACCCTGCCTTTAGGCTGCCAGTGCACTCTTCACGTTGACCACTACCCATCTGTCTCAGTACCACACTGCTGGTGCGCCTCAAAGTCATTAACTTTTGGCGTCTGGTCTTGATACCCAGTGTGTCTGGCCTATAAAAATAACTGCTGCTAAGATACTCTTCACTGCAAACTTGTTAAATGCCATCAGAAATTCATTTAAATATGTTGATAAAAAATACCTCAAAGCACTTCTTCAGCTGCTACATCCCTTCTACAAATCATTTTTAAATGTTTGCATTCTTACCGTTCCTCCGACAATTCTTCCCAGAGGATACCATGCTCTTTCATCAAACCAGTTTAGAAAATCGTAGAACCCATGGGATGCTAGATAATGTGTAGAGCGGTAGTTAAACCTGTAAAACATAGAAAGCCCAAAGTTAATAAATAATTATTTATATTAATTAATGATTTAAACAATTCCCCATCACGAGTCCATGTCACAGCTCTGAAATGCATAAACTAAGCTAGGGAACGCAAGCAGATGCAACTCCAAATCCTGCAAATACCAAGGTTATTGGTGAAGATTCTGTATGATTGCCAATGAGACTACAGCACAAAAACTTCTCTGTATCTATATTAAATCACATAGAATGCTCTAAGCGAGATTCAACCTTCAAATCATAGTATTTGGCATTAACAATGAAATTAAATAAAACATGGTTTTTCTGCAGCTAAACCCTTGTGTATCAAGTGATGTTGTCACTATTACAAACTTATTTTCCCCATTTCACCTACACACAGCTTAAATCCCAACTTCATATCTCTGAAATTCTCTGGAATTAACAGCTGTTCGACATGAAATATCGTCGTACACGAAATATTTGAATGCAGAAAAGGTCACTCCTCCCAACTATAGTACCAATTCTCCATCTATGCCAAAAAACGATATTAATCAAAATGATCAGAAAACTTGGATGAGGGCAGAACAAGATGACCTATGCTGTGGAAGGCCTAAATATGAAAAACTTGAGAGATCAAACATTAATTTTTATATATCCCACAAACTGTGCCAACATAGCACCAATTAGAGATGAAAATGCAGATATCTAAACGCAGTAAAACAGGTGCAGTTGACATCGACAGAGACCAGGTGTTATCGAATTTCACATAAACAGACTTTTGCTCCACTAAGAGGTTGTAATTAAACTTATGCATTTTCATACTAACTTGTTTTTCTAGTAGCAGCATAGTTGCTATTGTGCAATCTCTAGAGATTGAGTGGCAAAACAGGGAGCCTCAATCAGATGGAGCCCAAACTACTGGAAGGATAAACATTCCAATTTTGATAGTCCTTACTTGCAGCCAAATGGGATGGTGAGGGGAACATCCATGCATGGACTTTTGAAAGTAACCAAATGTAGTTTCATGTATGTACTTTTTCAGGAATATGCATGCTTAAAGTGCATAATCATTTCAGGATGCATTAACTGAATGACAGAGAAAGTATGTGCTACAAATAAGACTAAATTAGGTCACTTGAATGCCAATTCTTAAAGTGAATTCTTAATCAGATACAACATCGCATTCAACGCTACTCAGCTTAGAATACTCAGCTACAATGGAACTTGCTGTAATTGTGACAATGTTCACAAAAACGGTTAAGATCAATTGCAGAAACCACAGAAAGGATTCATGCTGTCTGCTAATAGGGACATCACTGTGACAGTTCTCAACTGCCTCCTCCCAACTGTTGAAGAGCTCCTCCTAGAGTCACAACATGACTCCACCTATCAAGAAGAATAATGGACATGATCTCAAAAGAAATCCAGTAAAAAACCACAGAGCAACAACGTCTATTACGTGGCTTTCTTTGACCTCACAAAGGCCTCTGACACTTGCAACCAAGAGGGACTCTGCAGCATCCTCACAAATACAGTTGCTTGCAGAAATTTATCACCATCCTCTACCTGCTTTGTTACAACATGCAAGCCACAACTCTCATTGAAAGATCCACCATGGGCCTGTTTCTAAAAGAAATTATGCACCTGAAACAACATTTTTCTCCACCTTCCTTTAATACAACATTTCACCTCATATCCACGAAACTTCCTAATAGACTGGAGTGAAGTTTTCAAAAACGAACAGCAAGAACCTACTTAACCTGTGTCATCCCCAGTCAGAACACAGGATGAGGTGAATTGCTGTTATAGAGCTGCAGATTATGCACGTGCATATTGAGAAGCCTCGTTTGAAACCACTGTTGATTCATTCGGGGGGCAGAGAAGGATGGACTATAGGCTATACGTTTGGAAAACAAAGTTCTGTACACGTCTATTTCTTTTAAAATTGACACATAGGATGTGGGTATCATTGGCTGGGCCAGCATTAATTGCTAGCTGTTCGAGAATGTTGTGAGCTGCCTTCTTGAACTGTTGCAATCCATTTGGTGTAGGTACACCCACAATATTATTATCCTGGAGGGCATTCCAGGATTTTAAACCAGCAACACTGAAGGAATGGTAATATATTTCTAAATCTGTGACAGTCTGTTCTAAGATGGCGAGTGGCTTGGACGGAACTTGCAGGTGGTGATGCTCCCATGCGTTTGCTACCCTTATCCTTCTAAGATGGTTGTGGTCATGGGTTTGGAAGGTGTGCCTTGATGAATTTCTACAGTACATCTTGCAGATGGTACACACTTCTGCTACTAAATGTTGGTAGTGTAAGGAGTGAATTTTTTTTGTGGATGCGGTGCCAATCCAGTGTGCTGTTTTGTCCTGGATGGAGCAGTGCACTCATCCAGGTAAATCAGGTAGCGTGTTACTTGCTGCAGAACTCCTAGCTTCTGATCCTGTCTTGTAACAGCAGTATTTATGCGGCTATTCCAGTACAGTTTCTGGTTGATGGTAAACCTAAAAATTTGATAGCTGGGGATATTCCCAACGAATTGGGATTATCCCCAAACCTATGGCATACTTGTTTTTGTTGGAAGGGGCATTGATTATAAAGGACAGGCAAGTTATGCTGCAGCTTTATAGAACTTTAATTAGACCACACTTGGAATATTGCGTACAGGTCACCATACTACCAGAAGGATGTGGACGCTTGGAGAGGGTACAGAAAAGGTTTATTAGGATGTTGCCTGGTATGGGGGATTTTGGCTTTGAAGTAACATTGAATGGACTGGGTTTTGTTTTCATTGGAACGCAGGATGCTGAGGGGCCACCTAATATAAGAAATTGTGAATGGCACAGATACAGTGGCAAGTATGAGGCTTTATCCCAGGGTGGAGGGGACACAGGTTCAAGGTGCGGGGGGAGGGGGTTCCAAAGGAGATGTGCGAGGCAAGCTTTTCACACACAGTGGAGAGTGCCTGGAACAGACTGTCACAGAGGAGGTGGTCGAAGCAGACACTATAGCAGCATTCAAGAAACACCTGGATGAATGTATGAATAGGATGGAAAGAGGGATATGGATCCTGCAAATGAAAACAGTTTTAGTACGGAAAGGTAAAACGTATCGGCACAGGCTTGGAGAGCCTGTTCCTTTGTTGTTTTGTTCTTTGAATGTTAAGGGATAATGGGTTAGATTCTCCCTGGTTGGAGATGGTTATTATTTGGCATTGTGTGGCAGAAAGGCTATTTACCACTTGTCAGCACAAACCTGGACATTGCCCCGGTCTTGCTGCATTTGAACATGGAATGCTTTAGGTGTCAGAGAAGTTGAAAATGCTTAACGTTGCTCAGTGAACATCAACATTTCTGACTTTATGATAAGGGGAAAGTCATTATGAAGCAGTTGCAGATGGTTGCTCCAAGGACACTCCCCTCGTAAAATCCCCTTCCATGGCACGCCGCTGGACAATGTGAATCAATTCTCTTACGCATCTGCCCTCACTGGAAGATTGCTCCCACTGATGAGGAAACTAAACATTGCCTACGAAGTGCCAGCGCAGACGATAACTGTCTGATAAAAACAGCATTTGATCCCAAAGACTTGAAAGACTCAGCACCAAAGACTTGAAAGACTCAGCACCAAATACTCAAGTCCTTAAGAGATTTCACCAGTGATGCCTCCACAAAATTGTGAAAATCCAATGGGAGGATAGATATTTCAATATCAGTAACACCTCTCAGGCCAACATCCCCAGCATCGAGGCACTGGTTGTGATCAATCAGGATGGGCCATGTTTGAAAAAGGCTCTCAAAGCAAGCTTTGTCATTGCAAGCAGTTATCAGGAGAGGTATGAAATGCTTCAAGACATCCGCAAACCCTTCCTGAAAGAATGCAGCATCTGCACCAACGTGTGGGAATCTCTTTCCCTAGACTTCCCAAGATGGAGAAGCAAAGGTACAAGCTACTTCAGACATCTCTGACTGGCCCTGGACAGAAATCTACCATCCTTACCCGATTTGGCCTAGATACCCCGCAATGTATGTTCGACTCTTAACTGACCTCTGAAATGGCTCAGCAAGTTATTCAGTCAAGGGCAATCTGATGAACAACAAATGCTGACCTTGCCAGCAGAGCCCATATTCCATGAAAGAAAAAATAAGTTAAAACAGCCAACTTCCTTGAAATCTGTCCATTTATTCCTTGATGGTGTTTAGCCTCAGATGCAAACCTGCCTTTTCAACTAAGTAGAAAAGTAGCTCCCTATTAGACATTTCATATGATATGACTAGAAACAAAAAGGTTCAGATATCGAGTGATATTGGAATATCTTGCTGCTGTGAGAAACTAATTCTGTATCAGATTATAATAAGTGCAAGAACATATTCTTGGAAGCTTACTGTATTATATTTTATAATGGTGTACAGCATGTTGGGTTATTTTTAACATTAAAGGTGTTATACAACTAAATTTTATGTTGCATACTTCTAGTAACGATTACTTCTGTGATTGTCAATTTGGGCTTCATAGTGAGACTAGTTATTTTCCATTCTTATGCAAAGTGGTTAATCCTACTTTTTTAAACCCTTTCATTGGTGAATTTGCAGTTACCTGCAAAATACTTGTGTCAATCTGGGATTAGTAATTCAATGTAGATTTTAAAGTTAATGCCATTGGTGTAGACAACACCATCCAGAGACTAGCCTGAACAATATGCAGAATGCAAAAATAACAAACGCGGCTTGACTACATTTGCAGAATTGATATTCAAAGAAAACCAAAATTGCAAAACATTTCAGCAGAAACACTAAATCAATGCATGGTAAAGTTTAAAATGCCAAGTCTGGACCAGTCCTCCAAATAGCAACCCACCCGATTCCTGTAACCCCATATTTAACATGGCTATTCCACCGAGCCTGCACATTACTGGACATTACAGAGCAATTTAGCATAGCCAATTCACCTAAGCTGCACAACTGTAAACCGTGGGAAAAAACCGGTGCACCTGGAGGAAACCCAC